GAGGCTGAAAAGGTCCAGTTTCTCTAGTCTCTCCTCGTAGGCCTGGGTCTGCAAGCCCTTAACCATACGAGTGGCCCTTCTCTGGACCCTCTCCAAGTTATCCACATCCCTCTTGAAGTGTGGTGCCCAGAATTGCACACAGTATTCCAACTGCGGTCTGACCAGCGCCCGATAGAGGGGAAGTATCACCTCCTTGGATCTGTTCATCATGCATCTGCTGATGCACGATAAAGTGCCATTAGCTTTTCTGATGGCTTCATCACACTGCCGACTCATGTTCATCTTGGAGTCCACTAGGACTCCAAGATCCCTTTTCGCTTCCGTGCCACCCAGCAGGTCATTTCCTAGGTAGTAGGTATGCTGGACATTTTTCCTCCCTAGGTGCAGCACTTTGCATTTCTTCTTGTTGAACTGCATTCTGTTGTTTTCTGCCCTCTTGTCCAACCTGTCCAGGTCTGCTTGTAGCTGTTCCCTGCTCTCCGGCATGTCCACTTCTCCCCACAGCTTTGTGTCATCCGCAAACTTGGACAGAGTACACTTCAGTCCCTCGTCCAAGTCGCTGATGAAGACATTGAAGAGTATCGGTCCAAGGACCGAGCCCTGCGGGACCCCACTGCCCACACCCTTCCAGGTCGAAACCGACCCATCCACTATGACTCTCTGGGTATGACCCTCTAGCCAATTCGCCACCCACCGGACTGTGTAGTCATCCAAGTCACAGCCTCTTAACTTGTTCACCAGTATGGGGTGGGATACCATATCGAAGGCCTTCCTGAAGTCTAAAGGGCCTTCCTGAAGTCTTTTGTGTAGCGATGCTGGCATTGCCACCATGACCCTCATTTGGGTCACAATCCAAGGTTATAGGGTATAAGAGTCTGAAAAGAGAAATCAACATTGGTTTGTTTAAGATTTACCCACATTGCTTCACTCAGAAAGGAAATGGACATACCCTAGACTTCCTCTTAGTTATTATTTTTATTTATTTTCTGACCTGAAAACTCTTCTCTTCCATTTAGTGACTTCCTGTACCCTATGATTTAAATTGATCTGCAGGGCCAAAAGTGAACATTTCTTCCTCAAATGAGAACTTTTTTGATGGTAGAGCTCCCTCCTTTACTGCACAAGACAATTTAATCCCTCCTCCTGCCCCCCGACCATGTCACACACCATATGTCATAAGTTTCTTTTCCTGGAACGTGTACTACACCCAGGGTCTATTTGTTTCAGCTATACCCAGGGTCTATTTGTTTATAGAAAGTTAAGGTATCACATCTCTACTCTGATGTGCAGCAAGTTTTATCATGTTTAGACTTTTCTTGTGTAAAACAGAACTCTTCACTGTAGCCAACACTGGTAGAGGTGGATCTTAATTTAGGATACACATAAGGGTTGTCTCAACTCTATTGTTGGAATAGTTGTTGAACTAGCTTTCAGGCAGGAAATCACCTTCCTCAGGCCACTTGACCAAAATGTTGTTCAACAACTCTCCAGACCATACAGATAATACAATAAAAGTATCACAAAAAGGCTCTTCCTCTTAAAGAATCATAACAATTCCTAAAATCAGCAGAGGTTGATCTGGGAGTGATTCATGTTGTGTTTGGTCCATATGTACACTGTATGCTGTTTCCATGGAGTCCATTACTTTGTACTATTTCAGACTTTAAAATAAAGGAACCAATAGGGTAAAATGAACCTAACATTCACACTCTCTAGAAAAAAAAACAAAAACCAAAACAAGCACAAAAAGAGAGAAAAGGCAAACAGGTAAAGTGAGTAGCCTTTGACCATCAAATTACTGAGAGAGAAGCATTTCAGAGTCAAATGTCTCATACTAAGAATTTCTGGTCTATGCCTTTCAGCTTCTTCCAGCTTGGAGATGGGAATAGATTTGACTTTGGAACTGTATCCATCTCACTAATCCATCCTTTTCACAGGTCCCTTTCTTCCAGATACAATGTATATGTCCTTTTTTGGCTTATCAATGGACAAGCTTTAAGACAAGTGCACTCCCCGATGACTAGAAAATGGCAATTTGGGGTTTGCTTTTGGGAATTGGCTTGTAGGTAAAGTAGATATGCATTAGAACAATAGTTCAGGGGACCGGATGCTTTCTAAGAGTTAATTGATTTCTAAAAGCCTGTTTGTGACAACGTTTCTTCAAGGTCAGCTGTGTCTGATGTAAGCAACAGCAAGCAGGCACACAGGCTGCAAAATTAAAGATATGTACCACTGTGTTCCATAACAGAGATAAGGGACTCTGCCACACTGGCCAAGTCACAGTGCCCAGTTGCAGGGCCCTTAAGATTCCTGGTTTTGGTAGACTGACCAAATCAGGAGAAACCTGTAAAGCCCAACTTAGTATGCTTGCATGTGATGGGTTTGTGAAACAAATGACTATGCTAACAGGAAAGAACATGAACAGTATGATGACCGCAGGGAGACCAGTCAATGATGCTCAGAGTTGAAGATTCATCAGGAGACAGATAAGATGCAAAAGGAAGGATTTCACAGCAGCAAAGAGACCCTGAGAGGGTAACCTGAGGCCACAATGGACAGTGGGCATAATGCCAGCCTGTCTTGCCCACCTCACTGCAGGGGGGGGGGGAGGAGGGGGGGAGGGGTTGGCATCTGCCTCTGGCCTCCAGACTGCTGACATTCAAGAGAGAATCTCGGAGTGAAGCTTGGGTACTAGTTAGATGTACCTTGACTCTGAAAACCTTAGGGCTGGTAGATATAGAATTGTTTGCATGATTCTTATCTGCTATCACTGTGTAACAGGAAAATTCACCTGCTATCGAATGGAGAGGCCATTCAGACTGAATGGTCAGTCTGAGGGTTTGGGTGTGCCCAGAACAAAGTATCTGGGTCACAAGTCCAGTGCCAACATCCCCTGTCAAACCAGCATCCTAGTGATGCAGCTATTGGGCTACTATATGAGAGAATCCTCCTCCTCCAGTATCAAACATGTTTTTATGTAATTTTTTTCTCTAAGTTGTAGTCCACTACTATGTAGTGATGTGCCTACCTGGGTAATCCTATCTTTCCTTCAAGGGGAAATAGAATCTCAAATCTGCTTGAATTTCAAAAATGACACTTATGAAGCTACATTTAAATATGTACAAAATTCTTAGATAAAATAAGATAAAATGGAATTTGATCCTCAGGTTTGGAATTTGGCAATCTCTTGTCCTAGAGGCTGTGAAAGGAATTCTTCAGGTAGCTGACAGGGAAACTAAGCCTGTCAAGAGGCATGACTGCCAGGAAACATGCTTGAGGGAAGGTACAATTAATTGGAAGTTGTTTTAATTGAAGCAGAGTTTGTTGGATTGAAGCTTTTCATAGATTTAATAGATTTCTAGGGTCAGAAGGGACCTATTAGATCATTGAGTATGACCCCCTGCTCTGGGCAGGAAAGAGCACTGGGATCAAGTAACCCCTGTCAGGTGCTTGTCTAATCTTCTTTTGAACACCTCCAAGGTAGGGGAAAGCACCACCACTGCTGGAAGCCCATTCCATATTTTGGCAACCCTCACTATAAATAATTTCTTCCTGATGTCCAATCTAAATCTACTCTCCTTCAGTTTATGGCTGTTCTTTCTAGTAACTCCAAGGGGTGCCCTGGTAAACATAGTATCCCCTATTCCCTACTGACCCCCCTATGATGAGTTTGTAGAAAGCCACAAAATCACCTCTCAGCCATGAGGTCTAGATAGAACAACAAAGTTCTCTACATAGATATCTGCTTACTCACAAAAGGAGAAGTAAACTTCCTTCATGTTGGTGTTTATTCATCTATTTACATATTTGTTTAATCTTTCATTCATTCCTTCTTCTAGATCCAAGTTTTGGTGAACAAATGACCATGGAGAACCAAACAACTGTAAGCTATTTTGTTCTGTCAGGTGTTTCCAATAACCCACAGCTCCAGCCTTTCCTTTTTTGGGTGTTTCTACTTATATACCTACTAACTGTGCTAGGGAATGGGGTGATCATGGTGGTGATAAGAGCTGATCCTCACCTTCACACCCCTATGTATTTTTTCTTATTCCATTTATCGTTCCTGGACATCTGTTCTTCTTCAGTCACTGTCCCAAAGATGCTGCAGAATTTCATGGCAGATGAGAAAACCATTTCTTTCCCTGGTTGCATTACCCAGATGAGCTTAATTCTTCTGGTGTCCTGTACAGAAATTTTCATTTTATCAGCAATGGCCTATGATAGATATGCTGCTATCTGTGACCCACTGCATTATGTGAGGACCATGAATAAACAAGTCTGCATAAGATTTGTGGGTGGTGCATGGTTGATCAGTATATTTCATGCACTGACAAACACAGATCCTGTGTTACATTTAAATTTCTGTGGGCCCAAGGACGTGAACAATTTCAGTTGTGAACTCCCATCTCTACTAGAAGTGTCCTGCACTGAGACCTTCATCAGTAAAATGACATTTCTCACTTCAGTTATGCTTTTAAGTCTGACTGCATTCTGCATCACTCTTGTCTCGTACATCTGCATCATCTCCACAATTCTAAGGATACAGTCTGCTGAAGGCAGAGGTAGAGCCTTCTCTACCTGCAGCTCCCACCTCACTGTGGTTGTTCTGTATTATGGGGCTGGTTTATTTCGATATCTGAGACCCAGTTCTGCCTCTTCAGTGGTTACTGACAGACTCTTCTCCATCCAGTACAGTATCTTAACTCCCATGTTAAATCCGATCATCTATAGCTTGAGAAACAAGGAGGTAAAGGCAGCTCTGGGGAATATACTGGGGAAATTTCAAAGTAAGTAAATGCATTTCAACATTTGGGAGTACTAATAAGATAATAAGAACTGAGTGTTAAAATACTGTTATACCATGTAATCAACTGTCATGGGCTTTTAGACTATTAAACCATAAGAATATTTGTATTGTCATAGCCAATATCAATCCAATCTGTTGTAAAGGCAAGGTACCATAGGAGTAGAGATGCATGAAAGGCCCGAATGTTGCTGAAGCAATCTGTAGTGACAAGCGCATGAAATAGTTCACTTTTTGTTTCCCAATTTTTGTTCTGGGGAGTGAGAATGAGTCTAGAGTCTTGTGGCTAGAGCACTGATTTGAGAAATAAATATGGGTTTCGATCCCAGCTCCAAATTTGACATGAAGGGCTTCTGCCTGAGGAATCAGCCCCTCCTTAGGTGAGCGCTCTAGCTCCAGAACTACTCATATGAAACTGGCATCACCATCACTTCCTCTTTGAATTTCCACAAAACATGATTTACCTAACTCTAGGAGGGTTTGACAGCTGAGAATAACATATCACAGAAAGTACCACTCAATGTTTTTTTGTTAAACAATAGATTTTTTAAATAAACCCAAACACAAAAGTTATCTAAATAGAAATCCTTTAGAGGCTGTATTGTTTTATGTGTGTTCCCGTTACTTCAAATAACATCTCTGATTCAATCTATAAGGTTTCTCCTTCTTCTACAATCCATCATAGTCAAGGATGATTGTCTTCCAAGATTGTCTTATCTGTGTGTCCAAAGATGGCTGATGATGCCTATCCAGGATTGACACACTTTACTGCAGCTCAGACATATCTTTCCGTGTGAGGTGGATGGTGCTGATTTTTTTTTTTTTACTTCCAGAAAAACACTAACATTGGTGTACCTCTCTTCCCATTGGAATAAGAGGATTTTGTTCAGGCTCGAAGGGGTGCAGAGCAGAGCCCCAGCCCCACCACTGCACCCCAGCTCAAGACCCAGCTCTGGGCCCTTACCAGCCCCCAAAACCCCCAGCAGCCCCCATAGGTGGTTCTTTCGAGTGAGACATTTCATTTTATGGGGTTGATTGAATGAGGCAGTCCTGGTAAATTATCCAGCTACTGCTCATTAGCACCTAGTTAAGCTCAAGTGAATGGTTCACAGTCTCCTGCGCTAGGGACAAACATTAAAAAAGCTGAAGCCTGAATTGATTCAACCTTTGCCGGTTAGTGTAACCTGCACAACATGAACCAGTTTGCAACAGGACAAACATGCTTTTTGGACTGAGGCAATGCAAGAACATTCATGTAGTTGCTCAGGCCAGGTGCTGGGGGGTGCTAGAGCTGGCCCTTGACTGCAGTGAAGTTGTGCTGGGGGGCAGCATGGTGAGCTCAAGCTGAGCTGGCCAGAGAGGGGTTTAATTCCCTCCTCCCTGTGCAGAGAGGGCAGAGAGGAAAATTAGTTTCCCCATTAACCCACTGGCAGCCGGGTTGCTCCCTGCCTGGAATAGGCCCCTGGCTGTCCTCTCCACCAGAGGATGGAGGGAGGAGAAATAATCCTTTCCCTGCTTCCCCAGGGGTCCTGCCTCACTGTGCCCTGTCCCTGCTGTTACAGCAGCAGGGGCAGGGCCCTTACTGGGGGCATCAGCCTCTGTCATACTGTGGGGGAGCATGAGCTGCTTCCCAGTGAAAGGCTGCACTGTGGGTTTGGGCTGTGTAAGGCAGTTCTGGGGTGTGGAACGGCCAGAGCCCTGGAAGTGCCCTGCAGTGCTGCCATGCTCCATGACAGCTCTGCTGGCCCCACAGCGTGCCCCCCACTGTGACGCGGCTCACGCTAAAGGAAGTCCTGATGGGCTGCTGCCCCTCATGGTCACTCACCACTCGTGGCTCCAGCGGACAGTCATGGTGGAGCCTGGCCCCCACCATTTGTGCTGTGCTTAGGTAAGGGACTGAGGGGGCTTATTCAGCTTCTGGCTCTAAGACTTGCACTCCTGCACTCCTGGAGGGGTTGCCTTGTGGCCCAAGGGGTCCCAGCCAGTGAATGCCCCCACTCTGTTACTCTGAGTTTCAGCTATGGCTGGGCAGACCCTACTGCAATGCCAGTGGACAGCAGCTGAATAAGCCCCTTCCTTCCAGGAGAGGGCTTGCCCCAAGCACAGAGAGGCCGCTCACACTGCAGTGGGGTCAACCCGGCCTGGCCACCGCTGCTTTGTTCTTTTTGCCCAGCCCAGCCACCAGTGGCCCAGAACACAGAGTGTCAGCTGCGTCCGGGATGGGCCTATGACGTTGCGGTACAAGCGGTATCTCTGTGCTTGGGGCATGTCCAGGCAGGGAGATGGCACGGATAGGGTTATTCCTTCTCCCTTCAGCCTCTGGTGGAGGAGACATCTGGGGGCCTATTCAAGGCAGGGAGCAACCCAGGTGCCAGTGGAGTAATGGGGAACTTAACTCTCCTCCCTGCCTCCCTCTGGCTCAGAGGCCATGGTGCCCCCCTGCCGTAAGTGAAGGGGGAGTGCCAGGCAGACCCAGCTTGGGTCCCTGACAGTGGCACAGGGAGTGGGGAATTAAACCCTCCCTGGACAGCCTCCTGGCCCTGCCTGGCCCTGCTCAGGCTGGGGAGCAGAGGGGTGGGGCCAGGCTGGCTGGGCTGGAGCAGAGAGCCCCTCCCAGCCAGAAATCATGCAGGGATGGAGGTTGGGGGGGCTCTGATTTAATTCAAACCAGCAAAGGTTAGTGGTGCACAGACATTCAGTGCACATAAGTCAGTTTCAAAAGGGCTGAAACCGGTTTGAGCCAAATCAGTTCAGTCTGACACTACATTCAACCAGGTTTATCTGAAACCATTTTCAGCCATTTTGAAACTGGTTTATGTGCACTGAATATCTGTTCTGTTACAGGTTTAAACCAGTTTCTGGTCACTTAAACAGGTTTATGTGTATGTCTGTCCCTGGCCCCAGTTAGACAGCCAGAGTACCTTGCTGCTTTTCTGAAGGACTAGAGTAGCTTTGCTGGAAGATAATCACTTCAGTGTCCATCCCCAGAGACAGCTGCTCTGCAGGGACAGCTGTATTTCAGGGACTTGTGCAATGGAAGGTACTGCCTAGATATGAGTTTTGATGCTGAGCTGTTTATCCCCATTGCTGCGTTATGCACAATGGGCTACATTCTGCTTACCAGTTATACCAGCTTGAATCAGGAGTGGTTCAAAAGAAGTCAGCTCCAAGCAGGAGCTGGGTAAGTGCTGTATACACATCAAATGCCTCATTTTAAGGCAAGCTGCAGTGGATTAGAGTAGGCAGACATTTCTGGCTTAGTAATAACTCAGGGCTTTTGCAGCTGCCTTGTACCTAAACATTATAAAAGTACAGCCCCTGGAGTGCTCTTTAAAAGCACAGACACACATTACACAGCAAAACAAGAGGGTGGGGTAGGCTTCTATCAATCAGAAACAAGAGCTTGCAACCAAACACAGCCTGTTTCACAATGTCTGATGGTTTCATGCCTCTTGTTATCCAAACAAGCCTGCCTGGAACCCTCCGCACTTGCAATAGCCTCTCCCTGTGGCTCGGTGTGACGAGATACACTCACGTACACTGCAGAGCATCACAAAGGGGGGCAGGGAGAGAGGGAAAAATGTCCTGACCAAAACTGAAGAGCCTCACTCCTCTGCGTGCTGTGTTACTCACTCCCCACAGTATGCATGGGACCCTGGGAGGGGGGCGCTTTGGGGGCAGGGGGAGGTTGTGACCCCCCCGCCCTGAGTGTTAGCTCTACCTGCAATAGGTTTTCACCCACTCCCCAGAGCTTTCAGGGGAGCCTGGAGGAGCTTTCTGGGGTCTTGTGGGAGGTCCCTTCCCCCAATGGAAAGTTGTCCTGGCTGACTTTGCAGAGCACAGCTTGCATCCCTGCCTGTAATACACTTGTGGGAGTGGGGAGATCAGTTCATCATTTTCCCCTTTTGCACCCTTTCCCCCACTCAGTGGTATATTTTGAATAAGTAAAAAACCCCAAAACCAACAGAGAAAAGGATGCTTATTTTTATTTTTGTGTTGTTTTTTCAGAGGAAAATGATTTGAACTGAAACCTGTCTGCTGGCTGTAGAGGCTCCACCTGGTGGTAATAATTATTAATTACCACTTAAAAAGCCCCAGTTAAATACACATGCAGCTAAGCTGAATTAGGTATTTTGACATGCACTACCTTATTCTCCTTACATTTAAAACACATCCAACCAGTTTAAAGTAAGGCAATTTTTGCCCCTTTAAAAGCACTTTAAAGTCAGTCATGTGTTTTAATTTATGACTTCAGTCCACTTTAAATGGCAAAACTCATCATGTGTATAAATGTCCTTAGAGGGAAGAAAATTCAATACTGACAAACAAATCTACAATAGCCAAGGTACAAACTTTAATATCACATTCGGCTGGTTTTCACTTCCCAACAGCTGCTTTACATCAGGATCAAGCGTTGCTGTTGTTTTAAACTAGATATTTTTCTAGACTACTCTATATGCAAAGTAGGAAGACTATAAATCAGTATGATTAGTTAATGTAGCTACAGAGAAAGTATTGTACAATACAGAAGATTGGGAAATTACTAAAAAAATCAAGACATTTTGAGTATTTAGACATATCCCACAGGAGAAAGCTCTCATGTCTTGTGAACCACTATCTGAAAGCAAAGGAGAAATTTTTTTTTTTTAAAGTAATCTGTATTTGGAACTGCTAACATTCAAATCAAAGCGATTGAAACTGAAGCAACTTCCATACCTTTCTAGAAAACATGCCATATCAAATATTTGTTTTATTTTTTTAAACTGTGTAGATACCACAGTGAGGAGAGGTGGAAGGGGGCAAGAAAAAAATTAAGTGAAATGAACTGATCTCAAAGGAATTAATCTGATTCTATCATAGTCCAAGTATAGACATTACACTTTTACCAGTGTAAGGGATCATAAACCAGTCCACACCCATAATAGAAGAGAAGTTTGGCACATATACACTAGTTTAAAAATGGCAGAAAGCAGTCTAAGATTTGCATCCCT